ACACACACAGAGACAGAGACAGAGACAGAGACAGAGACAGAGACAGAGACAGAGACAGAGACAGAGACAGAGACAGAGACAGACAGACACACACACACACACACACTCATCCTCATTCCGGTTTGCCACTTCCCAGGTATTTACATAGAAACTCCATGCGTGGATCCGTGGAAGAGCTGTCAAAGTGGCGTCAGCCGCAGCTTTCGACGGAGCTTGGGCTCAAAAGCATCCCTTCGCAAGCCCCAATCCATCATGTCCCTAAAGCCCTAAAGCCCCTGACTTCGAACCCAACACTCGAAATCCCCAATCCTCAAACTGGAGGAGTGCCTGGTCTTGATTTCGGACCAGTGGCCTGCGACCAGCGATGCACCGGCACCTTTGCACAAAGGTCCGATTGAAGTTGCGGAGACTTCAGACTACTTGGGGGTTGATTGCGCGGGATGATACAGGTTACGGTGCATTTCGGAGACTGTAAGGGGCAGTGGATGATAGTGGTGTCTGAACATGGCAGTTCTGGGGAGGTATCTGGATCGGTCATTAATGGGTGTAGACTCAAGCTACTTAACTCATTCTACATCCTTCTACAACAGCTTGCAAGATTATTCTGAGCATGGGTGTTGTGCAGTCTCTGGGGGCGATCTTTGGACGTGCCCTGTCGGACAATACTGATACCAACAATGCCGAAATGCGTCTCGTTGACAGTTCTTGCTAAGTTGAATGTATTCGCTGAAAGAATGAGCTCAGTTGGGGGCCTTGAGACGGGCATCGACTTGACGATTAAGGCTGAAAGTTTTGGGATGCAGACGGTTTGAAGCTGGATATTTCACATGGTCGGGATGGCTTGAGCGCTGTCTCAAGCACTCAAGCACGTGCCGGCACACATAGTTCAGTGTCACGAAAGCAAGGCTTAAGGAGGGTTAGGCTGTGGAATTGCGCACAAATTTAGAATGAATTGCGACGCCTGAGACGCCTGAGGCGACACTATCAAGGGCAAGATCCGTCAAAAGCGCAGCGGCCAGATATCTTTCGACGATCTTTGCAGTGTTTGCCCTCGCTGCCCTCGCCTCACATGTGAATACATTGCAACATGCAGCCAGACTCAAACGTTCAAATCTCAAGCCTTCAGGTCTTGTCAATGGCATTGCTGGATTCATTGCAGATGTCTGGAGAAGTTGCCCACATGGAGTTCAGCCGCGGCTTGCTGGTCTACCCATTTGATGCCGATGCGTTTCACAGTACCATGCTGCTCGATGACAAGGCCGACTCCTTTACTCTACAGCTGCAAAGGGGCTTGCACACAAAGGCAGTCATTGTCGATGTGCACCACCCACTTCTGCGCAGTGAAAGCTCGGGTCCGCTGCCCGCTCAAGAGAACCAGAGTATTGAATACGAAATCCCTCTTCCACCAGGCCCGCTCTATGCCCAGATCTCGATTCTGGCAATGGGAAGTCTGATGAATTCTGTTTATCTTGTGCACATTGTAAGGATCGGGACCGCCGCAAACATCTCCTTAGAAGGCACGTTCGACAAGGAGCAATACAGTGACTCGCAAACCATCGCCTTTGGCGAGACCCGCCGGCTGCTATACCAGCTGCAAAATCCTGTTTGGTATTTGCCAGATCTGAATGTAGAAGGGATGCTTACATTTCGTGTGCACCTACGCCCTGTGTGCTTCGCACCCCTCAAACATTTTTCAGATGGCAGATGGGAGGGTGCTGCCTGGGCTAAATCATGTGAATGTGGCAATGAGCTGGCCGGTTTCGGTGATGCGTGCTATTTCCGACAGAGGATGAAAGTAGGAAATGAAAGCGTCTGTGTATTTATTCGAAGAGCCAGGCCTCACATACATGTGCAGGAGGGGGCTGCTGGAGTAGGAGATCCCAACGGTGCACTGATTCCGTGGTTGCGCGACACTTCCATCAGTGGCAAACTCGTTAAGCTCGCCGTGACTGCGAACGGCAAGCAGCCGAGAAGTCATGAGCTCACGGCTCAAGCTACTGCTCATCTGTCCAGCATTGATAACATGTTCCGGGCATCTGTTGAGGCGGAAATCCTTTTGCAGGATGCCACGCTCCAGTTGTTGATATCATCTACGCAAGACGAGACCGACGTTGAGAGTCAGGATGTCCCGTTGGTGCTGAAGTCACATCCGCCGCCCATCTATCTGAAAGCTGCTGGGCAGGGCTTTTTTCTCCCCCCACTTCAGAATCAGATACAACGGGAAAGCAACTATGCATTCTGCGGCCAATATTCCAGAACCGCAGATTTGTTGTGGACCGTGTTGGATGACCGTTTTGAGGTCTCGGTTGCCCCCGAGCAGAACAATGAAAAGGACTGCCAGGCAAAGTTCCCAGAGATCCAGCAGCTGCGAGCAGTGCGGCGACAAACAGCGCAGTGTGCCCCTTGGTGCTCCCGCTACCGGCCTTGGGCCGAAGACTATGACTTACGTGTCGTCCACTCAAACTCCAGGTGCCTCACAGCAGCTGTGCAGTTGTTCAACACGTCGGCTGTGCTGCTGCTAGAGAACACCACGCTCGATTCGTTCAGCCTCCCGGCTGATTGCCGTTTTTGCCTTGTTTCGCTGCCTTGGTCCGTTAGCAAAAAATCTGTGGTGGGAGTTTAGATGCTACAGCACGCACCGTAGCTTGGACAAGGCCCATGTCTAGAGAAGTACCATAAAGCACCTCTACTAGGGGTAGAAGGCGTAGTAGGGGAAGGCAAGCCATCGGCTTAGACGGGTTCTCTTTAGGAAGATAAGATTATGGAATGGTTATATTAAGGGATGGAATTCTTTTAACCGTGCTGACGAACGGAAAAGGCATCAGAACATGTTCTGTAAACAACAACGCTTTGGGACTGGATTTATGGGAGACTATTCAGGTTTGTTCCCAATCCGCGTTGTTCTGAGGCAGGAAGCGGTGTCTGGATAATTTGGACGTCCTCGGCCAGATGCTCTTCCACAATCAGAGTCTTACAAAGAAACTCCTTGACAAGACTCCGGTAGAGCAAGCGGCACCGGACCCAAATCGGGAGTATAGGGGACAGAGGCTGCTGCAGGTGGCTGTCACCAAGAACAGCTTGGAGAATTTGGACATACTTCTTGGCAGCACGAGCATAATGGTTGACCTTCCCAACAAGGATCAAGAGAATGCGCTGCTAACAGCCGGCCGGCTTTGTCGCCTGCGTGCCATGCAGAAGCTGTTGAACCACAAGGTTGTGTTCCGAAGATTGAACTCTTAATTAAAGTGATTCGAGGAATCTTGACGGCACCCCTTGTAATCCAGAATACCCCAGAAAACAGCTCACGTGCTGTGACGATTCCAAGACCGAGGGTTCTGATTTCTCTGCAAGGTAATAGTCACCATAGCAATAATACTACATACCAATGGCTAGTAATCCTAGCAACGAAAGTAACAATAACAGTAACAGTAAGCAATCATAGCAATCATAACAGAGATAAGGGTACTGGCCGTTCTGAGCAGCCAATTCTGTGTGAAGGTCAACAAGGCCAATGCATCTTTCGAGAATGAGATACAGCCAGACAAGAAGGGGCTCAAAGGCTCAAAGCAGCAATAGGTGGGTGTAGGGTTTAGGAGTTTGCGGTTTCAAGTTTAGGGTAATGATCGTAGCTATGTTTGCACTTAAGTTTTGACCAGGCTGCAATGCAACCGTTCTCTCCTCTACGCTGACGGAATATGTCGCATCCCGTGGTGCCTGCGGCGAAGATGGACGGCGGGTTCTCGAGGCCCAAACATGCAGAGTAACATCACTGCTCAACCAGTATTGTCATGCCATCTTGGTCGATCTCCTTGTGAGTTCTTTCTCCTCTGACTTGCAGTGTTCTGCGGATGTTCTTCCGTCTCGGTTCTAGGAACAATGGCCATATTGCGTTCAACAGGCTGGAAAGCTGTTGGTTGATCATGGCGCCACCTACAACACAAGCCGATGCGACTACCGAGGCAGTGGCTGAGCTTTCGCCTTCAGGGGGTAAGCCAGGATCGTGAACCAGTCAGTCTTGATTTGGACTCCAGTCGATGATCCAAAGTGTCCATTTATTGACTTAGCTGAGAGGCAGTGTAATTTCAAAGGGCCGTGCGGAGGGAGCCAACTCGCTCGGACATGCGGTTTTTGGTGTGGCTAGTGGCCAGGCCTGCTGTGTTTTGGAGGGCGCTCTGCGATCATCCCGTCATCCCGCTCCTGTGCTGTTGCGGAGGCTATATCATGGATGATGCCATCAAGTCTCGAAGATTGGCTGCCATGGAGACGGTCCTGGCAACAGGATGGAACTCCAATACACTGATCAGTCCAAGGCGCCTACTTTCGTTATAATAACCGGCAAGGAAGGAGTGCTGTAAGACGATTTGAAAAACTGTAGAAAGCAGTATAATATTTCTATAACAAACCAGAACGAATTGTGATGATGTGGGGCATGCACATGGATGGGCTCTGCTGTTAGAGTATGCGCAGTGATGAGAGAAAAACATAGAGACGAGACTGCTCACAATGGGCATTGTGCTGGTTACTGTTCTACAAGTGTTTGCACGGCTTTTCAAACCTAGACCCCAAGCGCTAAACCGATTGCGGCAGTCCAATGCCGTGCGGTAGTGCTGTGCGGCCCTTTGCTTTTGCCCTGTCCTCTCTAGTGCGTCTCTGCCTGTCACTCGTGTCGTCATCGTGACTATCATGCGTACGATGCTCGGTGCTACTGTGGGTCAATGTTGCAACCTCCATGATATTTGCACTCTTATGCTTTGCGCTCCTTACGGCGCATATGGAAACCTGTCCAGCAAGAAGGGTTCGCCTAGCCCCCGCTAGCATCAATAGCGGTTCTAGTATTCGTTATTGGTACAGTAACCGCATTGAGAAGTGTAGTAGCTTTTGCTCAGTAATGTTCATCGCATTGGCGTCAGCATTAGTTTTAAGACTCATGTCACCATGCTCTTGCTACAGCCTTTGTCAGCAATCACGTGGGAATGTATGCACATGCTTCCTGATGATAAAAATATGGAATGGCAATCCTTGGCTGTTTCCGGGATACAGGCCATTGACACAGTGCTTGTAAGGGTCAGAGGCAGCTTAGGAGCTGGCAATGGGTTCCGTATACAGAGGCCATGGATAGTCGTACCCATGACGTGATTTTAGGAAAGCACCATGTGGTGGCCCTTTCGGCCGCCCTATTTAGGGGCTGCTGCAACCGTAGGGGCGGTGGGCCCAGCAGCTAGTGAAAGTAAAGTGGAATCCATACAATTAAGTTTCCATAAGACCAGCGCCAGAACCAGCATAGTTTTTCAAGCAGCGAGTACTTTTCAACATCCTTTCAACAGCATGCATCTTATGACAGTAGCCTGCTGTGCCCCTGCATTCAAGCGTGGATTACTACAGCGGCTATTCGACGTGTTGTTGACAGGAGGTGATTTCGGCTGTTGTTGGAAGGAGGGAGTACTCCCTGTTACAATAGTTGTAAAGGTGTTGCGAGCATGCCTACCAAGTGTGATATTAGAGCCGTTTCCACTGCTTTCGCAGGGTTTCCCTATGGAAATCAATTCCGAGCTTGTATTTTGAGGACACAACAAGGAATCAGAAAATCACTCTTTGTCGTTTTGTTGCCAACATACCGATTTCCGGACATGAACCCGTGCATTCAAAGAAACAAAACACCACCTTGGCTCCCAAAGCTTTGGTTAACGGGTCCATTCCGAAGTCGTAGCCGCTCCGGCCCACCTATTCCGCCTTCCAAATCCCAAACTCAGCACGCCGGGGCTGGGGTTTATCCCCTGAGGAAGAAGCCGAAACGGTCGGCATTCGCTAAGCTCCTTCTCCTGAACTGGCAGGCATGTCCTTGCACACTCTGCACGGGCACTTTTCTAGGCATGGAGTTTGACGATTGGTTCTAGGTTTTCCGGGGCAACTTTACAGCCCTGCGAAGGACAAGAGGACTCGAAGCTTTGTCGCAGAGGCTGCCCAGCTCTTGGCCCAACGTGGTGCGGATGTCGACGCGTATGTTATTCGCAAACAGACAGGGCTGGCCAAGGCTGCAGAGGAGTGCAACGGAGACTTGATCGCGCTCTTGCTGCGATTGGGTGCTAATAGCACCAAGAAAGACAGCGACGGCAAGGATGCCCTGTCTTACGCTCGTGAGTGTTCGGACTCCAACATCACAGAGATCTTCGAGAAGTCACTGTGAGCCATGCATCACACCAGCGGCAGCATCTGCATGCAACGATCTGCAGGAGCCCAAAAGGCTGTCCCAATTTTAAGGACTGAGCAACAAGTGTATGTGTCGGCTCGAATGGACAAGTTTTGTTCATGATGATACTGTTTTCGTAGTTTGCTGCCAGCAACGACAAGTGCAGACAGATTGGTGTTGATACCTTTTCGTTCATAGCAACAAGTCATTTGTTGAGACATTGGGTTTCTTGACATACTGGTTCTCGTGTGTCACACAAAGTGAGTTCGGCAAATCCTGCTGGTGCTCTTGTAACATCGTCCAGTACTCAGCTTCTCGCATAAACGGACTCGGAGCTGCTGCTTGAACCACTTCAGGCCGTTGGGTTCCGTGGTTGCGGAAAATGAGTGGGTTCATTTCCTGAAGGCGGTCTGGGGTTCGGATGTGGGTGTCGCTTGCAGAGAAAACTAGATGCGTGCTTGGAGGCCGGAATGGTCGAAGCCACGACATCGTTTGTGTGCTAGCGAAGCTGAAGGCTGGGGTACTCAGATCACAAGTGCACCAATGCTGCACTTGCGATAGTGGCGACTCATGACAGCCTGTTGGCGTCCATGATGTCGACACATTGATAAGGAAAGTGGAGAAGAACACCATCAACGAGGACAGCAGTGTTTTGTTTGTGTGTGTGCCGACGTTGAGTGTGTTGACGTTAGATTGCGACCTTGCATGCAGGAGTTGTACGATAAAGGCCTCATGCGCTTGAGTGGGGCAGTGCTGGATTCGATCCGAAAGCAGACGACATTCATGCATTTCTGCAAAGCAACAGCTGCAGTTAGGTTCGTTACGTGATTGCACATGTCTGCCCTGCATTCTATGGAACTCGCGCCAATGCCGTCTCATGTTGTCGTGGATCAAACTGTCATGGTATGCAACACTTGCAATCACCAGGCGCTTGAGTCTGTTGACCTTCCGAACATCCGACAGGCGGAAGATTCGTTCGATTTATTTCGAGCGTGGACTGTCTTGCTGACAAGGTTGGTGTTTTCGACCCAGTGGCGCAAATGCTGTCTTCTCAGAACGTGGAAGCACTGCCACAACATGGCATCTACACACCCTGAGGTCGGAAGCTTTTGCCGAGTATTCGTCTCGGCGAAAGATGTCAGTCCTTCTCTACTGCTGGGCATTTAGCAGTTAGCATTTTGCGATGTTGGTTATGGACTATGTTGTAGCCTCCAGGTGCCTCCAGCACTTTGCGTGGACGATCTTCGCCTTCCAAAAGAAGCGAAGAAGGCACGTTCACGATTGGTGCTATGCCGCTACATGCTGCAGGGGGACTGATCAGCTGCAGTGTGGGGATTTTCTTCGTTCTGCAAGCCTTGTGTCTCTCTTGCCAGGGAGGAAGGCTTTTCGGCAAAGATGCACTGGCCTGTTTGTGTGGATTGCGAAAATGCAATTTTGCATTTACACGTCGCTGCCCTCAGGCTTGCCGGCCAATACGATTGGAGGGATGACTGCCCCGCCTGAGCCTCGTTTGTCCTCTAGCTTTGCAGTGTCCCTCCAACATGCCCAACTCGCTGGCCGTGCACCGGAAGTGCTTAAGGCAGGCTGAGGATGAAACCTCGCCGTTCATCCCGGATCTGCCGCCGCCACTGGAAAGCAATCCTAGGGGAGAAGCTCCGACTGCCAAGAGCATTTGTGGGCATCGGTTCCTCTTTCTGTTGCTACATTGACGGGTGATCCTGGAAGCCGTCAGGTCCGATACTTTGTAAGGGAGGAGAGGTGGGGGTCCCCTTCCCTGCTGGCAAACCCCTCCCACCTTCCTGAAACTTGGAGGCTGCTCTGCCGAGACTTCCGCAACTCTTCACGTGCCGACTGGCCCAAGTCAAGGCAGCGCAATCCTAGGCCACAAAAGCCAGCCAATGGAAGCCTTGGTGCTCAGGTCGCAAGTCGTCTTGACTCGACAAGCCGACTCCAGTAGTGATCCTTCGAATCTTGACGGACGAAGGAGCGCAGCAGAACGCAGAGGCAGGAAGGTCAATCACAGGTCTCACGTAGACTCAATCTGTGCCAGGACTCCCGGACCGACTCCCGCTGTTTCAGCTGGAGGCTGCAGCTTGCCTTGTTTCACGTTTTGTTTTGGTAGGGGTCGTGGCATCAAGATAATCAATCACTGTAGCATCTCAACATCGGTCTTCGCAGTCTTTCAAGACCGGTGGCCCATTTTTGGTGAGGGGTCCGTGCTTCACGAAACAGGCTTGCTGTACATCCATAGAGCAGCCGCAGCTAAGCTCAATCAATGAAAGCTATGTCGGTTTGACGAGCAGGTGATAGCCGCAGCTGTCTGGGCAATGGCCTGCGCGACAGCATGGCAAGTGGGAACTGTGCTTTTCTACACCCCGCACGCCACCTCGAAATGTAGGCAGCCTCAACCTCAAAGCAACCGACATTAGCATTCGATCTGGTCGGAAGTCATGACATGCCCAAGTTCTGAATTCTGCCGAAGCTCCAGGAAACAGTTTCAAGCTAGCATGCGAAACCTGAAGAAGCCATCCATCGTCTTGGCTTCCTTTCGACCTTTGACGGCCTCCTCGTCGCGGTACTTCGGCGGGCCGGGGTCTTGAACTTGATGTCTGCGGTTTTGTTTGTGGGTATAGCTAGTTTGAGCTGCGCTGATGTCCTCACAAATTCGTTTCTGCCAAAGCGCGTCGATGTCATCCAGTGCTGACACAGGCCCGGCCAGCGGCATTCGTTCGGAACTTTCCGCCCATTTTGCAGTTTAGCTGAGGCCTGAACAGGGGTCGTACATGCACATGGTGCCTTGCTATGCCCACCTGATCCAGAGTTCTCTAGACTTGCAAATCTCACTTAGGGTTTGAACAATTCTTTCAGTTTGCAGGACCATGTCATCGAATAGGCCCCTGGTGCTGTGGAAGGCCGGGTTGGCGTGACTATCAACCCTAGATCGCAGGCTCAAGCCCCGTACCCCTGTAGACTGTACGGTAGCTCTAAATGAGTTATTTTCATAGGTGGCCCACGTCCACTACTACGTTATGTGGGTTCATGTGTTCACGCAGGTCAGCGTATTATATAGGGCCTGTATAGGGGTCAGGATATTGGGCAAATGGAGGTAACACACACACACACACACACTCACACACACACACACACACACACACACACACACACACACACACACACACACCCGCACACCCGCACAC